CGCGCGGTGTCCGGCCGCGGGGTTTCGGTTCCGCGGGGTTTAGTCCTGCTGGGGGAGGGGAGGGAGGGGGGCGGATGAAACGGTCTGGTACGGCCGCTTTCTGCCCGACGTCCTTTAAATTCATGCAGAGGCTCAGGTACGGCTAAATCCCGGGGCGGATGAAACGGTCTGGTACGGCCGCTTTCTGCCCGACGTCCTTTAAATTCATGCAGAGGCTCAGGCTTACGGCTACAGTTTCCCGGGACCGAGGAACTGGGTGTTAATCGTCCACATCGCATCGTTTCCTACTGTCAGCACGGGGAAAAAAATCAACCCTGAAACAAAGCGAAATAAATGGCTCAGCTTTCTTAGTCGGGAAGTAGAAGGGGCAATGTGATGGATAGGGAGCGTGCTGATCACATTCAAACCGAAGCTGTAGGCAAAGGCCACGTACAGCGCCGCGTCAAGCTGCCTAAAGTTTACGTTTGTGCTGTAGGAAAAAATGTTCCGTAGAAATAATACGTGCCGCTCAACCCCGGCTAAAACAATTCATCCCGGGGAAATTCAGGTTAGAGCTCAGTGCGGCAAACGTGGTTGTGTGGAGACGTGCGGTTTATCTATGTGTTTGTGTGTGCGCGTGTGAGCGAGGGAGAGCGAGTGTGAGAAAGAGAGAGTAAATAACGAGAGCAGTTACAATGGACCTGTAATAAACAATTGCAATTGGGAATGGCATGAACTCTGTGCATTGGATTAACCTCGAATGACCTTAGCACAATTGTATTTATTTATCCAATTTCATAACAGGTTGCAACTGACAAAAAAAGAGATAAAAGTCAATGATCAACCACGCTTGTTTTTTACTTCCTTTTTTTTTTTTTAGAAACGCGGTTTAAAAAAAAATGTCAATTTGTAATTATTTCATTGCTCAACACTGAAGTCAATGTATGGGAATTCTCGAGGAAGAGTGCGATGTGGAGGATATGGCTTGACTCTACCGTGGCAAGGGGTAAGAGGAAAGGTAAGATTCCCGCATATTATTATGATTATGATGATCATTAACTAATACGTGTCACTATGGTGCACTGGGATCCCATTAGGGTGGCTGGGCCCAGTGCATTTTCCTACTCGGTCTAGCATGTAATGATTCGGTGTAACCGGATTCTTGAGAAAGGACAGGTTACGTAAACATTTACTGATGTGGAGTAACTATACTATTTGTACTCTGATATGCAGGAAGGAAAGTGTTGATTAACACAGAAGAAAAAAAAGCGAAATTAGCTGATTGCATGCTCATAAGTGCAAGCTGTCATTGAACTGCTTTTAAAATAGACACAGCTGGGTGTTTGTGTTGAAAAATTTCTTGTGTTTTTGCTAATACTGAAATAAGCATGATTTTGTATACCAAACATTTTCAGATCATTAAAATTTGTAATCTGTGCTGGTTTTAAACACAAAGAAAAGAAACAGATTCATTTCGCTGTAAAATTTGCTGATATTATATTAACTCAATCAGGTCTGTACAAATGGTGTATTGTGACTTATCAAATCTCTTTGATCCATTTAATACACAAAGTGCCAAACGTGTGTATTGTTTGTTAACATTGAACGTTTTATTCAAATCCCAGCTCTGCAGCGAACTGGAGGAGTTCTCGTTTAATGCAACACTGACATTGCCTGTTGAAATTTTAATGCGTTGAGGTGTTTCTTAGGTCAAAGCTGAGTTTACTTTGCGTTGTGATCAGGGACGAAGACGTAGCAGGGAAGAAAATAAACGTTTTCTCTTTTTGCATTCCTGAGCACAGGGCTAACACCGAAAGAAGCACGCTTTTAAAACGTTTGATGATCTAGATTTAACATTCCGTCATTTGTCATGGGTGCAGAATAAAGCTCTGTGCACAAACTTAGGATTTATATTCTATTTTTTTTTAATGCCGTGGATATACAGTTCTACCAAAAAAGGAAATGTTGCGTCCATTGTGTAGGACATATCTTTCTAAGCCCATGAAGATTAATTCACTGTTTACAGGACAGAAAAGGATACGTAAGAGAAGCCACGTCAATTATTATTTCTGCTGGACTTTAACTTTCGAGTCCCTCTATTTTTTTTCTTCCGCAGAAAATTCTCCGTTTCTAAAACTGGAGATATTTACTTTGGAAATGCGGGAGTCTTGCTCTAACGCCAGTCCTTCCCTGAGCTCTGCCCTGGCCACGACTCCCGTTCACTTCAGTGGTAGCTTTGTGCGTCGTAGCACTGCGTGAGCGGCCGATGTGACCCCTCAGCTCCGGCTAAACTCGAGTTCTTGCAAGAAGGTCCCTCATGGCAGCATTTTCCAACAGGGAAGTTTTTGTGGGCTGTCTGGAGAAGAAGCTTGTGCGTGGAACGGAAGCGCACGGCCCCAACCCTGCGAAACACGGGTGGGTGTGCAGAGGGGACCCGGCTCTCTGCGCAGCGTGGACGCTCCCTCACCTGCGCGCTCGCCTGCGGTGTGGACCCGCCTCACTGAGCGGCGGGGACGGGCTGAGAGTGTCCAACTGCGGGGTCAGGACTGGGGGTGAATAGCTGAGCCGAAACGTCCTGGCTGAAGTGCCATTCAACAGCGATCTCCGTGCAGTTCCTGGGTGTAACTCGCAGGGATAGTGTTTCAACCGCACACTTTTCTCCCTCGTATTTTTTTTTTTTTAATTAAAGGCCAAAGGACCTCTCCACTGTAAGCTCAATGGATATAACGTACCCCCCGCCACCCCCCAGCTCCAGCCTCCAATCCCCCTTCACACGGGTATAGCGGCTCTGTACTCTCAGGCTCTTTCAAGGGGTTAAGCTGCTAAAATATACTGACAGCTTAAGAAATGAATGAGGGTTTTTTCAGCCATAAAGAAAGGGTATTTAATAACCACGCTTCGATGGCATCGTGCTTCCATGAAACGAGTCGGGACACTTCGGTTTAACAATGAGTAATATCACACTCGGTACAGTAAATGCCTGGAGGTACGCATATATAATTCTATTCCCCCTTGACTCTAAGCTTGCCTTATTTATTCCAGGTTACCTGGGCAATTAAGGTAAGGGCTGCTCAGCAGCCACTGATACCCTGCTGCTAAGGCAGGGCGAATGGGGACGGAGCGGTGCGCTAACAAAGAGAAAGAGGTAGTCAAACATTTCGAAGCGGCGTGAATGGGACTGAAGGTGGATGGATGAATGGAGGCAAAGAGGGAGAGGAAGAAGTATTCAACGGTCCACCCTTCTATCCGCATTCGTAGATGTAAGTTTAGGTGTCCGTCTCTAGCCAACTTCTAGTTAATCCTCAACAGCTGGTAGTGGTGCTAACGTTTAGTGATTAGAAGTTAGTCTATTTAGCATGCTGTATCCTTCTTCCATGGGTTTTGGTTACAGGTTATACGATTAGGGTTGCGAGAACAGTAGTGAACTAAACTTCCCAGTAAGAGGTCTTCACACCAGGGAAGTGTTACTTTGCTGCAGCAGCCCTGCCTCGTCAGTCATTAGGAAGCTGCAGGTTGTCAGAGGCTTCTCTTGCGCGCACACACGCGCAGACACACACACGCACACACACAAAACCACAGCACTAAAACTAAATTAAGAAGCCGATGATTAAGACAAGCGTCTACGAGGCCTGTCATTTCAGCATCCTTCCATCATAACATTGTGGCACCGAGAAATTTGCTTGAAAACCCCGGAAAAAATGTCTATGGGAGAGCCTCGTGTTTGAGATAGCATAAATGTTAACATCAGATATAGACTGGGAACTGCCTCGGATGCAAGATAGTATTCCGCAGAGGAAAGGAGCACTGCAGAGACCTTTGGGCTATCCGCGCACTCCCGAAACTCTGGTAAGTATCTCTCCCTTCTATTGCAGCAGGTACGCAGGCACTGTGTGACTGGAACTGGACCGGGTTTGAAATCCGCAGCTACGTTCCCTTCGGAGACTTCGGGGAACTCCCCCTAAAGATAGATCTGTAATGAAAAGTCCCTACTGGATGACTAATGGTTATTGGCACTCAGTGCCCCTTTAAGGAGAGCAGCACATATTGTGCCGAAGACCTTGCAAGCACCCTTTAAATACAAACATTTTAAGTCCCCCTCCCATGCATCCCCACCCCTGTTGTTTTCGGGCTAGTTGTGTTGTATACCCCCATTCAGAACTAATTGCTCAGTTGCTTAAATGTTTCAAGAAGAGCTAAATTTCTCCATCCGATGATCTTTTGAGAGGCTGCACTGTACCATAAAGAACAGCCAGCGGGGCACTGTATACCCTTCAGAAGCCTGCGCAGCTAGGGGAGAGGTAGCGTTAAAACAATGACATGAATCAGCTAGGTGCGAGGAGTTCCCCTCCTGTTGAACTTTAGGAAGTTTCTTGGACGGGCAGAGGTTGGACGGAGAACGTGGAAATGGGAAACAATGGCTGTAGGGGCCAGAAAGCTTTGCTGATGCCGTAAGCGTTAAGACAAGATAGAATAGTGACAGGAAGAGATCCGAGCAAACATTGGAGTATACGTTTCCCACGGCGGCTACGCTGGGTGGAGAGGTCTGAATTAAATCGCCTTCATTAAAAGCTGAAGATTTTATTTTATTTATTCCTGTAGGTGTTGAATACCGTCCACAGAAAGCCTATTTAGAGAGTGTAGAGCATCCACTAGATTTTGTGTATTCAGCTGCCACTGCCAGAATATTTTCAGAACAGAGTATTTTTACACTCGCTGCCAACTTTAACGTTAAGACGTGCTTTTTTTTAGATCCTAAATGTCGCTATTATTTTATATGCCAGCGTGCGTAAGAGAGCCGTCACACCTGCCTAGGTAATACGTGTCCCTGTGTAACAAAAGCTCTCCTTAATTCAGGAATCAAACCGAAAATTAAAATATCCCTTAAGAATTATCCACCGAGTTATGCCGACGACGACAATAAAATGCAGGGGGGAAACGGACAAGTTAAAAACCTTGTACTGTTCTCGAGGTTTAAATACATAATTTTATTTTCTTCTGTGTTTACTGTTAAAACATTCTTGGCCAGCACGGTGCTTTTACCGGAGTTATCAGATTGAATTAGAGAATCGGGAAATAAAATACAGGGAAAAAGAAAGATCTGGAGAAAAAAACCAAACCAAAACAAACAAATAATGCTTGAAGAGACTTCTAGCTGCTCTTTGACTCCTAAGAAGCTGTTGCTGGAATATTTTCATGGTGGTGTTCTAAAGCTCTTTAGCCTCTTACAAACGTAATCTTTGGCAAACGACGCACGTATCTGGTTTTGCAGTTTTTCGGTAACTCGAGAGAAAAGACGCCC